ACCCAGAATCACCTCACCAATTATATAACGTGAATCACTTTTTAAATCCGAAGTTTGTAAAAAGTAGGCAGTAAACTTGACGGAATTTGAAGGCTAGCTTCCGGATTTGTTATTTCCGAATTTTATAATGTGATTGGCATTAAAAACACGCTCACCTTCAACGAAATTTCCTTTCCGAGGCTTTGTGTCAGCCCAATCACATATTGTGTCAATACTTATCATTTTATCGTAATTTAAAAACTTGGAAATTGCACGGTACACTATAGGAACTACAATAAATTTTCCCTAATCGGCGCCATGCTTTTAGGCTCCTCCCATTTGACGGATCCCAATACTCGCGAACCATTAATTTAGTAACTTACTACGGCTAGCAAAAAATATCAGTAGATGGCGATATACTGCCAATAATTTGATATGGCGGAAACCTACCGATATTTTAAGGATTAACGAAGCAATGTTCGCTGAGGCTGAATTTCATTTGACTATAAAATAGTTACCATAGAAAAGATACATAGAATTTTTATATATTTAGATGAAATTAAATATCGAACGTGGAGTTAATTCTTCTGATAATACACATTTAAATACCAAAGTATATCCTGCATCCTGTTATTTCAGTTAATATTAGGTATAATTTTCTAAACTGGAAGCCCTAAGATTTATCTAACAAACTACATAAGTAATCTCATTTGTTATGTATTTATTCGTGAAGACGGGCACCGATTTTTATCATCAACTGCTACTTTTGAGATGAAACTATATAATAAAGAACATTTTTATGGAAATGCTGACAGAACGTAGATAGCAAAAATGCAAAATAAGCAAATTCTCTTCAGAATACATGCGGACTTCAGACGTTCAATTATTTCGTTTCTATAAAGCCGGGGGGCATACTGCGAGATACTGCGAGCCATCTAACAAATCATCCATATTTATGTGGTAGTTACCGACAGGAATTTCAAGATTTATAATTCACATTATTGTGGAGACAAGAAACTATCAGTAATTAATTTGTTATTTGAAATTGATAGTGCAGGATATTTCGATGTTATCCGGAATATTGATAAATTTTACTATAACATTTTCGAATAATAAGAAGAGGTTATGTTTCTTAGCAATTAGAGGACCGATTATAAACAGGGAACTAGTTCAAGTAGGTACATAAGTATAGAAAATCCAATAATTGTGTTTCTACGAACAAGTTATAGGTTAAAATCTCAGTTGACGAGTTGTGTAAGAGATTAAAACATCATCCGGAATATGGACAAATTTTATGAAAACAAGATCGGTTAAAAGGGAAAGGTGGCGTAGCGTTTCTGAACAGGTGGAGGACCCACTAGCAATAGGAAAATATATAAGGAAATAACTAGTACGTATAAATATTACAGTTGGAGAGGTGGGCAGGAGATTTCAAGAAGATCCGGAATATTTTGGATAAATTTTAAATTTAGAATATCCAGTAAATTGTTTCCTACAGAAAAGCTATAAAGATTACAGTCAGAGAGCTGGGCAGGACGTTTCAACGTAATCTGGTATATGGACAAATTTTACGGTAAAATGCTCGGATAGTAGGCAGGGCTTAAGTTTTTTCTAAGACGGAGAGTCTGCCAGGAACAGAGAAATATATGAGGTCTGTTCAAAAATCATCGGGAATTTTGTGTTTTTTCAAAAACTACACAGGCCAATAAAAAAATGTTTGTAAAAACTTTTTAAATTAATTTACCTAAATCTTATGTACTATTTAGTGCTGAAATCGTATTCGATATCAGTTTTTTTTTATCACCCACAATTTTCTCACAATATGACATT